TGAAGTGATTTCTTCTCAAGTCCTTAATCAACGAAATTTGAAGGTAATATAAGATTTTTATTAGTGTCAAAACGAGGTTTACATGTTGAAATCGCACTGGATTTGATTGTAGTGAATGATTTAATTTCAGCTCAACTCCTTGTAATTTATTTATTTTTCCAAAATTGTTGGTTCTTGATAGTAATCTTCCTCTAGCTATAGTGATTTTTCGACAACAGATCTCTTGAATTTTTGAAGCGGTTGTTTATGGTTTCTCCTTGCCTTAAAAACTGCCCCTCAAGTGTAATACGTGAATACGCACGACCAAAATCCACCCCAGGTGGCTCCTCGCCTGTGCGAGGATCTAGTAGCTGGATTTTTAGTTTCTATTTTGAAGTATATTCCATTGGGGTGGAAATATTCTGATCTGAATTATTAGATCTGGAAATTTAGATCTGAGAGTTTCTAATCAAATTGAATAACTAGGTTTTTGTTCAAAATATCAAAAGGATATCAATCTACTACCCCACAAAAAATTGGCTAGTAATTATTAAATCAGAATTTTTTAGTTTAATTTCCTTTGTTTATGGCCTTCTAGTTTTTATTTATAAACCTGCTCTGGATGACACATTCATTTGTACAAACTGGATTGAGCAGGGGCAGGGCATGTACACCCCCATCTGTGGCAACTTTCCATAAACAAAAGATAGTTAATCGGCAAATAATCTTGTGAGACAGAATGAAGAAACATAAATTGATCAAAGACCACGATTGCTGCTCTGGCTTTGCAATGTGGCATAGAGGGGATGTTTTGTCCTGTTTTTAAGCTGTTTTGTTAGATATCTTTTGTGTTTTTTCCAAATTTGTACTTCAAAAAGGTCTCAAGTAGCTGGAATCCAATCTTGGAGATTCGAACAAAGGCATTGAATCTTGATTTCTTGCATATATCTCCTATTTTTACTACTTCACTGAAGTGTGCTATTGTATTCTACCCTCTGGCGAGGTTTCAATTACTTTACTTATGGAAACATGTCTGTGTGTACAAACACTTATTTCTTGTTTTTGGATGGGTAACCCATATCTGCAACATATTATTATTTTAGAAAACTGGTTCTAAAGCTTGAAATGGTTGGCAGAAATGGCTTTAGGTGGAGGTGGTCCCCAGAGAGGAACTGCTGCTGCAGCAGCTGCTAACATGCGTCGGAGGAGAACAACTAGTGGTGGAGCTGCCGGTGGGGCAGGTGGGACCATGCTCCAGTTCTACACTGATGATGCTCCCGGACTTAAGATTTCTCCCAATGTTGTGCTCGTTATGAGCATTGGTTTCATAGCTTTTGTTGCTATTCTCCATGTCATGGGTAAGCTATACTTTGTTCGTAGAGAGGCTTAAGATTGAGATTCCAATGTTGGTGACAAATAAGAACCTATATTATTTCCTTAGCATGCTTTTGATGAAAAGATTTGTTTTTTTTTATAGAATTTTGGAATGAACAGATACCTAGGTTTGGAATAATGTGATGGGAATAGTATTTAATGTCCAAGTCTTTTGAATTGTTTGTTGATTTAGTATATGGTCTGATTTGCTTTGTCCAGATGTTCATGTTTTCCTCGGTTAAAACTGAATGATTGTTTAAAGTGTTGGAGAAATCAATGGTAAAATTATGTGCCACATAGTATAGTGTAAAATAGAATGTCAACTAGAATGTATACGTAGCAAGATTGATTATTATTGTGCACGCTGGACTTTGAGAACCTGTTTGCCCAAGAATTATCTCCCTTTCTCATCTCGATTTGTGCTTATTTGTCTTGGAAAAATTCATGTTATCATATTGAATCGGCAAGATAGGTTTCGGAATTAAATGCATTTTCACTTGAAAACCTGTCTGTAATGTTATTGAAAGCAATACCAAATTTGCAGGGTTTGAGTTTATGCAAATATTCTTTGAAAGCAACACCAATTTGAAGGGCTCGAGTTTATTCAAATTACTCTGAATGCCTTTTTACCGGACCCCTAACCAGTTATCAACTTCATTGTAGTATAATGTATGTGCAACGGTTGATACAATAGTTATCAAATTCGGTTCAAGTATTGAACCGGCGAAGTTGCGGGTTACTAAGTCAATGGTCGAACTAGTGGGTTGATGCTTATGCATTAAATATTTTTGAATTAAAAATGAACTCTCAAAGTCATTTAAATATTTTTTCCATTATTTGGAAAAATAAAAATTGAACTTTAGATAACTTGTTGATCACAAAATAATGAATATACTCTTTTAATCATGTGGAAATTGTAGAAAATTGTCGAAATTCTTGTCTTATTTTGAAAATGTAAACTTCTTAATCTTGATTTCTTTGTTATAAAATCCAAAAATTTGGTACAGCAGCATCTCCTTCTGCCAAAATTTTATTGGAACTACTTCGTCGATGTATTTTTCAAAGTGTAAACTGAGACTTCAGACTTGTTATTGTTTATGCAAAATTGGAGAGACTTTTGGATGATAGTTTTGTACAATTTCCACTTGATAATATGAATTTGGTTGCTAATTTTTGTGCAGAAGTTCGAAAAATAAAAATAAAAATAAAATAATATTGTTAATCTATAGTGGTAGGTTGATTTCTTGTATTTGTATATAATGATAATTTTTTTTTTTTTTTACAATTAGTATTGGGCTGGATCGGCCATGAAATTTTGGATGCTCTATATTACATTTTAAAATGGTGTTATTTTCATGTAATAATAAATATATTAAGGAAAAATATATTTCAATAATATTATTTCATTGAAAAAATATGACGTTTAAATAATTATTTATTTATTTACATATCGTGAATAAGAAAAGTACAACTTTGGTATGAGCAAACCTTGCAATTCCCTATACCTTTTTTAAGAAGGCAATCAGCCACCCAGCCCACCCTTTCACTTCCTCAATAGCAATTAGCAACATAGATAAGCATATAATTATATTAAACTGGCAAAAGCTTTCTAAGCTTAATTAAAGCTATCTAGATTCTTCAAAGAGTAATAGTAATACTATGAGTACAGATTTTTTTCACAGAATACATACAGAATTTTGAAATGGATGAATTGGATTTAAACATTAGAGGAGGGAAAACACAAACCGAAGCACAGGATTTGGCAATTCAAAAATCTGTAAAAAATCTGGCATGTTTTCCTGTACTTAAGGAATTTTTCTTCTTCAAAAATCTATGTATTACCAATCAAATGAAATGTAGAAGAACTGGGAATACAAAATACAATAACTCAAAAGGGGGAAATTGAATCTAATCGCTTACCATGTCGGACAAAAACTTATCCTTTTAGAACAAAAAAATAAAATAAAAAATCACGAAATAACAATTAACAAGTGGACAATGGGCATTAATAAAATAATGATGTTACGATATAGATTGTACTATTGTAGAGCAAGTAACAAAGACTCAGGGTAGAGTTTCTTCTCTTTTTTCGTGGGTTAAATGGTGGGATAAAGGGAAATGACAAAAATGGATATGGGGTTGGCTTTTTCACCTTCATCTTAATCATTTGGATTTTGGGTTATTTATTATCTTATTTATTTTCAATCCATTTGCGTTTTGCTACACTATACTTGACAATGCAATGTCCATCACAGGTCAAAAACTTATAAATGTCCATCCAACTGTTGAGTACCCTCTATCACTCAAAAAGAGTAATGATATTCATCCTTATTGGGGTTTAGCCGTTTAGCCACAGTTTATGTGGCAATTATATGTCATTAAATGATAAATTCATTTAAATACAAAGTCACGTGACTTATTTAATTGAGTCTATTATTTAATGTCATGTAATTGTCACATAAACTGAGGCTCAACCCCAGTAAGGATGAATAGCATTATTCACTCAAAAAACCCTAAGTGCAACTCTTGATCACTTGCAATCCAATTGTTATTGTGTCTCTATTCTCTCCATAGAAACCGGCCCCCAGAGACTAATCGATTTTGGAAATTGGAGAGGTGAAAAACAATCCCTCAAAGCCACATAGAAAGGTTCCAGATTCAGCTGGTGCTTCTACCCACGCTTGACCTTTTTGTCGGTAATTCCCAGGTCCGTCGTGTGTTCTACTTCCATTTGCAGCTGAAACTTCAGAATTGTTTCCTGCGTGAACAAATCGAGCGGTACTATGGACGACAGCTGAAACTTCAGAATTGTTTCCTGCGTGAACAAATCGAGCGGTACTATGGACAACGATGGCTCGCACTGGGGCTACTATCTAGACGATGAAGCTTTCTATACATTTCTGCCTTTCGATCTTAGGTTATCCCAATCGTGTCAGCTTCAACGATGAAAGGGGTGGCTCAAAACTTTTTGAGCACCAATTAGTTCCACCTGTTTTTAACTTGAATTATGTCTTCCTATGGCAACAATGCAGATCGACACGACCCAAAATTCGGACGAAGTGCAGGGTGCATCCTCAAATCCACACGACGGATTGACACAAGAAATCGTATTTTAAAACACTTGGGACACCATTTTGTATGATTTGGATTCCATATCTGAGTTGACATTATTTTCATGGTAATTACTTGCCACAAAGTGTTAAATGATTTTTTTGACAATGATTGATGGTGTGCAAAAGGCGAAAGTTCTGTAAGCATTGCAAAGCAAATTAAAGTTCTGTGAACATTTCGACAGTTGATCTTCACCGTGAAAATAAATTTTGAATATTGTTATATTCCAATAGATCTAGAACTAAATTTAACAATTAACCAAATTAAAGGGGCCAAAGATTCTTCACATTAAGAACAACTTGGCAATATATATCCGCGCAACACAACATACTGAACTAACATGTGCATCCAAATATTTATCGATAGTAGTGCTAGGAAAAACCAGCTACAAGATGCTGATACTTGAGTTAATCTGATAATAATTAAATACATATAGAGTGACACTTATCTACAGTAACATCATTCGAGTATCAAAGATCATCCAGCCACTAGTGATAAACGTGAAACAATAGGAAAATGTATGAACAACCTTAAGTCTAGTGCAAATTATCTGGTATTCCAACAGATCCTACACCATCATCCACAGGTTTTGGACCCCCGCAGGATCTTGATACTGATTCGAAGAGTTTCTCAATTTCCGGTGCGCACCTTGTGAAAGACCGGCTCCAAAAGTTATACCTGGGATTCTGTTTCATGAACAAAAATGTATGAGAAATAAAGCAATTTGCATTTTTCAAAGACTTCCATCTTGTGGAATAGATTAGCATAAATTACCTTAATAAGCTCGATAAAAGTAATTAGAAGACCCCAGGGATGAGGCCTATTAACGATAAGTCGTTCCAACAGTACTCTAGTGATTTGCTCCTGAATCATTTCCTGCTCAAATGGGAAAAACAATTACATTAGAAGCCAGTAAATCTGTACTCCACATTTTCTGCATGTTTGGTGAGGATTGTACTACTAACTATTAATGAAGAAAAATAAGCTAAAATCTTGTTCATTCCCGTATAAAGTCAAAATATCCTTACAGTCTGAGAAGATAATTGTGGGAAATGACGAGGATTCAGGGATATCAATCACAAAATCAAATTCTTATTGTTTTCTTAGCGGCTTTATTAAATTTTCTCAAATCACTTGAATGTGATATAAAAGAAAAAAAATGAAATAATAACATTCATAAACCTAGTGAACTGAAAAGAAAGATTGTACACACCTGGTTTGATTCAGCAAACAGGTAGAGAAGGACGAAAGAGAAGTAATGTGTGTGGTTGTTTGGATAACGTAATTGGTTAGCAACCGCATTTAGGAATAAATAACAACCCTCGGTGTCCAAATCCATTATCAAAGTCTGGAAAATGTCCAAAGCAGCACTGACCAAGAACATGGTCATACTAGCCATGGATTGCGAATGAGGGGGTGCTCTAGCCTGCAGCTGCTGAATAGCCTACAGAAAATTTATGAAAGACAAATTCAGAAACCAAAACATATTGTGAAGAGGAAATATCATGCAGGTAAAAGAAGAGAGTAGAAATAAAATAAAGGGAAAGAATTGTCCTCCATGATTATATTAGCCTGTGTTTGGCTCGTGTTTATAAACTACTTGTAAACACTCAAGCCATTTTTTATCCACACATTCCGAGGGACCCACAAGTAATACCCACTCATCTATCTAGTTATAATTTAAACCTATTATAAACACTTCCAAACATGCTCAGCTGTCCGGAGGCGGTAATTATTGGGCATACCTGCATCCCAACATAAAGTACAAGGGAGTTGATTAGAGGAACATTGTAACGGGTCCCAGCACGAGCTGCATCGGTTGGAGAAAGTAGCAGCTTTTGCTTCAATTCAGCAAGAAATGAGGACCCTTGTTGCCTAGTCTGTAGCATAAATTGACATGAGAAATACTTGTATTATAAGAGCATGAAACGAATAAGTAAAGAACTTCGCTACTTCAAGAACCACACCCACCCCCACCTCACCACACAGAAACACACACGTGCACGTGCAGGTGGGTGTATAATCCCTTATCTTACCCATGTCCTCGAATTTCATTTTCCATTTTCCATTCAAGTTTACCTTAAGATACTCATCAACATCATTCTTCATCTGCTTTGCTCTAAGAGCTGCATCAACGTCAGCAAGAATACGTGGCGATTGACTTATCTCTGTCAGCAGATCAATCTAAAAATAGAAACACAACACAATTTGCGTCAGTATTATTTTTTATGGCTAAGCATATTGATGGAAATTTAAGATTAGGTAGACACCTTTAAGTTGGGAGTAGAAGGATCTGGTAGCCTCATATTACGAGGAAATGCGCTAAGGATTATATTTCGCATCTGTATGCAGCTTGGGGGGATCACATCACAGAAGCTGAAATGATAATCACATAGAAACTCTGGAAAATCATGGAGTAGCACCAACAACACCCTGAGTGTGCCTTTGTAAAGAAAATGTACCTAAATGCCAACAAAATTTATTGAAAAAATTGAATGCATCTCATCATCTGCATGCAATAATAATGATTAAATAAACAATAATCTCATTCATATAAAGAGGCGCACCGGTTCACCCAGTTCAGCATTCCTCAGAAATGGCTCCATGAACTGAAACAAATCTACTAACAAACGCTGAAAATAAGGCCACCCCTTCTGCGCATTTGCTGTGAGTAATTTTGGCATAAAACTTCTGTGACTAACCAACTCTAGCCATGCAAAGCTGAAAACAATTCACATCTTCAGTAACCAAATGAATTGATGAACAGGCAAATTCCATAGTGAGCAGCATAACAACAATAATAATCACGGTGAACTACAACTTCCTTTATAGCAGTCATGGAGAACGACGACTTCTATATGCTTCTAATAAAGAAGGTAAGTTGTGAACCTACTAAAATTATTATGAAAAAATAGGCCGCTGAAGATTGCAGGGTAAAACAAACAAGGTCAGGTTCTATAGTAAAGAACAACAACAATAATAATCTGAAGAAAATTTACATCCCTCCTAATAAAGAGAGCAAATAGTGAACCTACCAGGAACTATCATCAAAATTAGCCTACTGACAATTGGCATCGAAAAATGAACAAGGTTAAGTTATCTATTTTAATTGTTTGTACATAATTTTCATCACAAATCAAGACTATACAGGAACAATTTTTAACATGTTCCAACACAACAAGAGCCCAAGCCTTGTTCCCAGAAAACTTAGCCCTTGTGGTAGCTAAGTAAGTCCTAAGAGTCACTCCAATCCACCACTACATTCATTTGAAGGCCGACTCAAAGAATCTTTTGCAACCAATCAGGCTATATAATATCGGCAACTCTGCCTTATTTAACCTGTTCTTGTGGAATCATATCACTCTAATGCATAAGCAATTTTTATCATTTTTTAATCTTGTAAGAGTAGATCCCATATCATTATAGCATCCAATGAAGAAAAACACACATTTTGAACTTGTGAACATGCACTTGAAAAAAAAAGGTCCAGAAAAGTGAACAAGGAACCTGCTATAAACGGAACCACATGAGAAGTCTACACACAGAATATGATTAACAGTTTAACTTGAAATGCTAGTGATGGACAAGAAACTAACCTGAATCCTGGAACTTTGAGAGGTTGAAGAGCATGGAAGGTATTTGCTATAACAGTCAAAACCTAAAAGAACAATTTAGAATACAAGTTAATTCATGATCACAAGAATAAACTGAATGCTGACATGCAGTTTACCTGAAAATTTGTTCCATCAAAAACAGGGTCCAAGGAACACAGATCCAGCAGCCAGTTAATAAACAACCTAAAATAGGGTCTTGGATTAAAGGATGTCCTCTTCTCCTCAGCATCTTTCTGAATGAATTTCACAGCCACCGCAAGAACCTGTAAAAATCCATTTATGAGATGAATTCAAATGCACAGAGCAGCCACATAAATTCTCAAATCATTCAGGTGGGGGATAATACCTTAGGCAGAAGAGAGAGTTTGCTAGATCCTTGATCAGGAGAAAACTGGAAAATTTGCAGGAAGAGAAGTCGAGACACAGAGAATTGTGAAGTCAGTCAATATAATGAGAACAGAAGGGGAAGCCGGGACAATGAGAATTGAGTTGGAGAAAAGTTACCAATATTGGCACTTAAGAAAAGGAAAACCAAAATCATAATTCCAAAAATATGATTTCTACCTTCAGGATTGAGAAGACTAATTTGGCAAAGATGTCAATAGCAAGGAAGGAAAGAGGTTGTCCCTGATGCAACTGAGAAGGGCCTGAATTTATCACCTCCGAAGATAAGCAATGTGACACTGACAGTTCCTGAAATAGGCGGACGGTGAATTGAAGTCTAGACAAGCTATACATATTATACATACTAAATGATAAAATGGGAGGAACTTCACCATGAGCCGGCGGAAAAAGCGATCCGACATATCATCTCCTTTGAGTAGGCCTCTCTGGAGTAAATGTAAGATGTAACGAACACAAGCTGCATCATTTGTTCCCGGAAGTTCACATATTTGGTACCATTCCGCAAACAGTACAGAAACCTACATGAATAGCAGATTCAAAGTCAAACATTTAAAACTACTATAAAATACGCCCTCATCTCCAGCCAATTTCAAGCCTGAGATGTCTATCCCAGTGTACAACAAAAGAGAAACAAGAATAAATAGAAAATGGAGTGCAAGGGCAATACCAAGGGATAGGCAGGCAAAGACAATTGATAGAAATGACGTGACTCAAGAAAACATTATCTCAATCTTGACCGTATAAAAAATAAGACTTGATAGTACACAGAAATTCTTGTTCAACAGCAAACTACGCATTATTAGTCGAGGTGCGCGTAAGCTGGCCTGGACATCCACGATTATAAAAAAAATTCAATAAACTTGGGCTGCTACAAGAATCTATTGTGCACTCCTTTTGATCATCTACTATATTCATAGAAATATCAAATCTTTTGCAACGACATCAGGCCAATTTAATTTTGATCTACATATTAGTATTGTTATAATCTAATCTACTAGGATTGTGTCACTTCTGTAAATACACTTCTTCAAGTCAACATAAAACATGGTGTATAGCCTAAAATTTCGAAACTAATGTAGAATAACAAGAGACCCATCCCCCCACCCTATTTGATATTAATGGCTACTTCCTGAGACGCATACACTGAGTACTCGCCAAAAAACCTCACTAAAACAAACTTTTAAAAAATGTTTTTTGCTGAGAATCAGGACCATATTCTTCATTCCCATCCCTTCTCTCTATCAGGCAAGCGCACCACATCCCATCACAAATACCCATGGAATCTTTAAACCATTATGCTTCCCACTACCAAAACCCTAAAAGCACAGCAATCACAGCCTCTACACTAACTGAATTTCCAGATTCATCATGCTCACAAATACAATAAAGCAATTAACACCACCACTTCTACCAGAAACACAATATGCGAGAACAGAACCACCGATAATCCTCTTTTTTTATTCAGTTCAGCGAGGACCAAGAAAACACCCGACCCAGTACAACCATAACCATGGTAATGGTAGCACAAGATGCAAAACAATCAGACTGATTAGACCGTCTAAAGGAATATCCACCATAGCCTTGGCTGGAAACTAATTACCACCTTGTTTCTATTATACACAGAAACACACAAAATAGCAAAAAATAATCAATATCATACAACTATAGGTCTCCTTCAGCATAGATATAGAACGTATAAAACTAAGACAATCACCTGCTCCTGAAAACCAGCAGGATCTGGATCCACCAATTCCGTTGAAGTGTAGTCTTCCCTGTTCACTCCAGAAAACCCAATAGCCTGTTCCAACACAATAAACTGAAAATTTTAAGACTTCGAAACTTGGTTTATACCTAACCGCAAAGCCCCAAAAAAATGTGCTAAAAGAGAAACATTTCAAATACCTTTTTGTCTCTAGATGATCTGATATTTTCCTCTGTTCCAACAATGACACCAGATAAAGAAGCAGAATTACCAGAGGGATTCTTAGCAATCTCAACCAGCTGTTGTAATGATTCAGGAGATCCAGGTCTTGAGGCAATCTGAAAACATGAAAACAATTAAATCCTTGTGTAAAAAATGAATGCATGCACAAGAAACAAAATTGAGCGAGATCGTGCCTTAGCCAGAGCATCAACAAGATTGTGCAGTTCTGATATGACTTTAGAATCATTGACAACCAATTTTTCTAAAAGAGAAATCACGAATTCCATGGCAGCCTCTGCACGTTGTATACAGAATGAGTTGTATTAGTCTCTTTATTACATAAATATTGAATCAGTATCTATGATACATACTATTCCTTCCTGAATCAAGAAGCTTTGCCATGTGGACATTATACTCAGCAAGGTTTATTAATTCACTGTGAATAAGACCAATAGTAATATCCTTATTGAACTTCCGCTCCTCATCAGAATAAATCACCTGTCAAAAAATATATATATATAAATAAATAAAACTAATTAAATAACTTTATTTCATTAAGTATTCCAAAACAACATGATACCCAAATCAGCATAAAACAAAGAACGAGACAGATAACAGACAAAACATGAATTAGACTTTCCTGCATCAACTTCTAATTGAAGCATTTGGGTTGGATATATATCAGTAGAAAATCAGGTAAATCTTACATAACCAAAAAAACCCAATAACAGATTGCCAAAGAAATAATTATCAACACATGTTAATGTCTTCATTTTCATCTCAGTTATAAAATTATTAAGGAAAAAAAATTAACCCTAAAACATTTTAGCTACAAATACAAAGGCGTAAGAGTCATTTTCGATTGTCTGTAAAAGGCCAAAATAAGAAAATTTAAGACACTCAGAAGCAGTAAAGTCACTGGGACATACCCAACTAGTTAGCTCCTTAACAACAAGCTTGCTAACATCACGAATGCCAGCCAGGATTGCAAGGTGAGCATTGACATGAGCATAGTTAGAAGCATTTTCATACAAGCCTTTGAAAGCCTGCAGCAGAATAGAAATCCAAATTCAGATAGCAATTTTAGAAGAACAATCCAATGGCAATAAGATGCTGTAACATCACCTTTTGAGCCACAGCCAAGGCAGCCTCATCTCGGCTTATGCATCTGAGGATTACTGCCGGGAATTCAGCTATAACCCCCTGCAAGATAATAGATTTGATAATAAGATAATCTCCAGCATAAATACAAAAATGTTGTGATTGTAATATTGTGCAACAGATATATCAGAGGAAAAATCACAATTGACGTACAAAAATAAAACAATTATTACCTGGATTTCTGCTTCCTTAGCATCACCAGTCAAGAGATTTTCAAGCTGCAATGAATTTTGGAAATAAACTTTATCAGACAGTCCAAGCAGAACAGATAAATAGTTTGTCTCTATGCTAGTTGGAAAACAGTTTTCACATTTTCAACATGACAGCACCATCAGTCCTACATCACAAGTGTAATTAAAAGAAGAGAAAAAAATGTTACACAACCTTCTCTGAAATAGTCAGATACTTATCCAATGCATCGCCTGTGGTCAACAATGGCTCTAAGACATTACTTCCAGCGCGCTCAGAAGCCAAAGTAAGATTTGGAGTCTCTGGTCCACTTTCAGATTCCTGCAGCAAATGGAATATCTTATTAACTACAAGACGTAGAGATCTACAGCCTAAAATTTTTCATTCAGAACTTTACTTACTTTAGCAGAGATGGGGGGGTTAATGTGTAGTTCAGGAGTTGAGACTGGAGGATATGAAGCAACAGTATCATTTTCAAGACTTTGAGGGCTAAGGCCATCAGCAGTTGCAATATGAGTTGAGGAAAAACTGGAACATTAACCAAAGAGGGTGGGAGAATAAGTTACTTCTTTGGTTAGTAATATCATGAAAGTATGAAAGAAAACTGTAATAATATAAACCTAGGAAGTTGAGTCGAACTATTATCCATCTCCTCAGAGCCAATCTCCAAAGTCTGGGGTATAGCACTAATTCCAGTGCTAATAAGGCCAGATGAATACACGCCCGGGTTTATTTGGCCAGATGCCGAAGCAAATTGCCTGGACATGCCACTACTGCCAGATGAAATAGAGGGACCAACAGGCACGGCATTTGTGCCATGGGTTGACCGATTCTGCCATGGCAACCGAACAAAATCCTGAAAAGGGGGGGGGTGGAATGCGGCGAGATATAAGTAAACTAACATGGACTTACAATGATGTCTCCAGAAAGCAAACTTTCATTTACCTCATATACTCTCTGCTGTGAATGTGATAGGCGGCCTGGCTTAGGACGAAGAAGCTCTGGTAGCACACCCATGTGTCCTTGCGTATACAGGTTAGCATCAAACAATGTAGGACCAACACCCTCTCTATGCTTCCTCCTTATAGAAAGCTGCTGGGCAATCTCTCCATCAATCGTTTGAATTGCCTGCAAACAGAATCACAATGCCACAGAACAGTTAAGGGAAACAAGTTAGCCACAATATCTCAGGAGGACTCACTACAATTTCATCTTAGTATATATTAACCAGTCATCAAACTACTAACATGTGAATTAAAGAATATAACTTCAGAGTTTTCATTTCAAGAAATTCTCGGACAATAATGAAGTATTTTTTGTTAAAATAGCAAAAAATTATTACAATTTATGCGCTCACAGCTTCAGATGTGAAAAATAAAAATCTTTTATTACAAGACAAAACCAGGGTTGAAGATGAAATAAAAATAAAAGTTCAAAAGGACAAAAGCATATGTTATAACGTGGTAACTATATGCTTGTTTGTTTTATATTAAATTTATAGCATTTTTTACACTTATTTCATTTTGGTGAGTAATCAGTTTTCCTCTTTTCACGATGTCTTAGTTTCCGTTTGGTGAGTAATTAGAGTTCCTCTTTTCATTATGCCACTTGTCACAAGATCAGCTTCAGATGAAGCACAGAATTCACTGTTGTAGTCATATACCACGTACCAAAGGATTGCTAGAGATCTAACCTTCTCTGTTGCAGCTTGTTCAATCAAGGCACAGCCAAGGTCAAGATTGTCATTGGTCACAATTTGAACAGCTTCAAGGAGTTCACTTGATATACTCGAACCCTGAAGCGTACTCCTAAGCTGGCTTGATATTGAGCCACGCAGAGGTTCCTGACAGCAAGCAAAAATCCACATGGAAAACTAGGTAATGAAGAATGATGAATACTTGGATCATATCAGCATATCATGAATAATTCTGATCTCTGATCAGAGAGTAGCAGTAGAACAAATAACAAACTCTATCTCTACCTTGCATGTCACATGAGCTAGACTCCCTGCCAACCTTGCAACCATTAAGTGTGCTGCATTACGTATAAGAGTCTCATCTGGCTCCATGGCATAGTCCTATCATTGAATGTTCCAAAAGAAGAAAATTAATTTTGGTCAAAAATTTTTATAGTAGTATACATTTGGTGACAATAATAGTGTTCATGATGTGAAACAAATTGTGAAGGATACCTTCAAAACAAGTTCCTTTGTTGTCTGAGTTGCTATAGAAACACTACGCTGCACAATACTCGACACTATTTCTTTGATAGCTCTATCCATTGCAATTGGAAGTACACTGCCGCAAACACCAAGTAAAAAGCATGAAATAATGGATTATTAGTCAGTTTATAAAGTAAAATACAACATTTCCAATAACTGATTCAGACCTCTGGAAATGCAAGTGTAAGCCTAAAGCATGAAGCTTCGGATTGACAATGACTTGCTGCTCAATATTAGATGATGGAACAGGAAGCTGCAAACGTGGAAAACGTTGTTGTGACTAGTCAATGGTTACCACAAACTACTAAGGAAACACCACCAATACAACCATAACCATACCTGATTAACTGATAACTGTGTTTGACCTTGTAGAAGATTTTGAGCAGGGGGAAGCTGATCAGATAAACCTAAAGCCAGCTTCTCATCGTCCGGCAGTGTGCCAGATGATAGATGGAGAGGGGCAGTATACTGAATCCACCACAAAGTCAACTTCAAATACCTAAAAAAGATTATGATGGACTAGATAAAAAAAGTACTACTGAAGCACCACAAACCTGAGATAATACACGTGAATGGCCAGTAGGATGAGGAGGGCTGGCAACATCAAGGGGTAGCTCAACTTGATTTTGAGTAGATATTGTTCCAGATTTGACTTCATTTACCATCTGTGGCTGGGAAGCTCCAATATCTTTGTTGGAAAAATCAGGATTCCCTTCAACCTCACGAACTCTGTCCTTGAGAAGTGAAGTTGCGGTTACATCCTTTAAATCTACGCCGAGGTTCTTAAATAAGACCTGAAACGAAGAGAAATTTCAGAAATAAACAAGAAATCGTATATTCAGGCAGTCATCCCATAAGCAAAATAGAAACAGATGATATACATATACACATACCTCAATGTCAAACTTGAGGTTCATTTTTAAATTAGGCATTGCATAAATCTCAGTGAGTAATCCAAGAATACCCATGGTCCAAGGGTTAGGAGGTTGATACGCAAGACTGTTTGAACATGAATCCAGAACCTGAAGCAAGTATACAGCATAAAACAAATATGCAGCAGTCCTACGAAAAGGTTCACATCAACCACAGAATAAACATACCTTGGAGGTAAAAGGAATAACAGCAATCATTAATCCTTTTTCATAAGCCTGCAAAAATACCAAATATCATGTACCATGAATCATCCACTTCACAACATAAAGAGTTGTATACAACATTATAACAATGTCCCGGAGAAGAGGATCCCCACAAACACTGCATTGACCGGATAGGTACATGGAAGAAAAAAGGAAAACCTCTATAATTAGGGATTTGGGATCTATCTCCCGTGCCCTTAGAACTTGATTTTTGCCAATTGTAATCTTCCCAAGCCAGCTTCCTAAATTTTTCAGCAATGAACGTTCTTCTGAACTTGATTTTATAAGCTCTGATCCTAAGAGAACCTGAAAGAATGCATGATCACCAAATGTGAACACCAATACCAATTATAGCTCTGCCATTGGAGAGAATAAAATAGTCTATGGGCCCACAAACCTTGCAGTTCTCGTATGTGGCTTGAACAATCTCTTTGTTCAAAGGCTTCATATTTACTTTATCAAGGAACTTCAAGTACAAGTCGTGAAAATTTGGCTCAATGCTTGCTCTGTCAATAAGGGGAAGGAATAAAGAACAAAAAAATGACAATGGTCATTCCCTATTCACTATATTATTTTTATTGTTCTTTGCTTTTCCATGCATGGCATTTTTTTGGTGGGGTCAAGAGAGAAATCAGGCGATAAATTGTTTGTGAAAGGAAATCTAGAACAATTCTGTATTTTCACTTGCAGTAATTCCTCCAAAATTATAACGGAAAATTCTCACCTTTTCATCACCATATACTGGGCAAACCAGGGATAGTATTGCTCTTTCAAGATTTCAGTTAATTCTTTTCCTTTAGCTTCAAAATTTGTGGCAGATAAGTTATTAATAAAAAATGATATCTTATCCTGAATTTCTGATGCAGGAGCCTGTTCAAACGACATAAAACACTGTCAAATATTCATCCACAGCAGGAGCACAAACTATGCTGCACAAATCAGGGGTAGAAATCATGTACAATAAGTGGAACATCTACTACAGTTGATTATTGAGAATAGTAGACTCAAACATTAATTCGAAAAGAAAACAAATGGAAACAGCATATAATAAGCACCACATCACGTTTATGTACAAATAGAGCATTAGTTTGTGTTTGCTATGGTAAAAAAAAAAGTCACATTTTGAGACCAGTAATGACATGCATCTCTTGAACTCTAGTGAAATTCCATAGGTCATTATTAACATGCCATATTGCAGTCTCAGTGCTTGTCCCCAAGTGATACTTTAAACTTCAGCAGATTTCAATGAATGAAATGCCTAATTTTCAAGTCTTCCTTCAAAAGAAATGCCACATACATAGCAGATCTCGCAACATCTCATTATCAAGTGACACACACATTTCTGTTATATATACTCCACTAAGTTGAAGGACCTTTATCAAAAAGACAACACAAACACATGGATGGTCCAAACTACCGACCACACCCAAACCCGCAAATAAACCATAGATAATACTTCTGAACCAATGGATGACAGTATCCTAATGAATGAAATACTGGAATTAAAATTATTTCCAGATTTTAGAGACAAGTGATTGAAAGAAACAAACTGCCCTATCTGAACCAGACCTTCTTGTCATGTCATGCAATGTTACCATAGACAAGTCCAGGGAGTATATCAAACTCGAGATAACCTACCAAGCCTTTGTTTAAACTATTAGAGAAGGGGCAAAATTATTTACTTAAATTATGCCTTCAACACACCCCTTTGTAAACCAGATTCATTTTTGCATCAAAGGGCTAAAACAAGCATAATTTTCATAATGAGTGGCTCTGAGGCTGATTACAAAACCCTTGCATGCTCTGCTATTATGTTGGACCACCTCATCTAAAAGCTCAAGCTATTAAAGAGAGGACAAGCATATTCATTCAAATTATGTCTTTTAACATTTATACTCTCGTGCTGAATTCTTTTTCTACTTGCCAATTATTTTCAGAAATGTGTGCACTGTGTGGAGCAATATACTACAAGGAATCCACAAGATAATAAACAAATCTCCCACCCAAAAACAACACAGCAGTTGAAAAATTATATAGGAATCCTATTGAAATTTGAACAGAGATTTATTCAAGCCATAAGCAAAGAGGAAACTAAATCCTCATGTCTTGGTTCCTTGTACCAAAAGCAAAAGCACAATATAACTATTACTAACCATGCTTCCGCTGCTAAAAACATGTACCGCAGAAATGTCATCAACTGGTCAAATGTTCAGTTTGACTAGTGTCAAAAGAGTCACAAAACAAAAGGAAAGACGTGTCAATCAATCTGCTTTGTAATGATGTCAGTGGCACCATCTTTATACTACTTTCTTTTTGTATATATTCATTATGCCAATAAGTGGACAACAATTGTGGATAAATTAAAGGAAGGATGACTTAGGTGGTTAAGGCATGTCTTGCTGAGATCTAAAGAAGCAAGAGTTCGTAAGATCAATGGGATCTTAGTGAAATAAGTTCGAAAGAGAGATACTGAAGTTAACATGGCACAATGAGGACGGGAAAGATTTGATTGTATTGGATCTCACACTGGATTTAGCGATGGATCGTAGAGCATGTGTAGCAAAAAATCAAAAACACTGGCAGAAAAGATTCATCCAGCCGAACCTAAATTTATTGGAATAATGGCTATTTTTCTGGTATTGTAATTTATTGGAATCCATCAACTAGAAGTGGCAAAATGGTGTGACAAAAAATCCAACTGTGTTCTTTCTAGAAGTAGCTATAAGCAAGCTATAATGAGTCCAAATAATATGCCAGTGGCAAAAACTGAGGTCAGAGAAAGTACCTCTATGGGTGTTTCTCTTCTCTCTGCGGCGGCAACAAGGGTTTCAATATTTAGAGCAGAGCCAAATCCTGTCACAGAAACGGACCCTCAAATGTTTCAATTTCCAGAGTAAGTCATCTAAGGGAAATGATACTAGAGAAAGTACACAATCATATACACAAGTGGAAAAAGTAGACACATGTGCTTGGAAGTGAGAGAAAAATACTTGCTGAGATAACTCTGGATGAACGAACAGAACCAGAAGGCTGTGCTGATGAAGCACTCACCAGACTCTGTGACTGCATTGTAGCATTAAAGAGGTCAGTTGAAAAACTAGAATAGGTGTGCATTGAAAGACATATCAAATCCATACTAGAGCAGCTAGATAGCTAACTTCTTATATCCACTTATCTTTTATGAGTATATTATAGTATTAGGTCATGATCAACGTTTCAATAGATCAATTTTGTTGGAAAATCCAGGTTATGACAATAAATCCAGTTGCTGATTTATCAAATCCATAGAAATGCACTTAGAATAGATTTTTTAGCACTAGCCTTTGGAATGATAGACATATCACTTGAAGGAACAGTAGCAGATTGCCCTGCAGTGGTTGAAAGTGGCTTCATTATAGAGACCTTTCTCTCATCTAAAGAGTTTAGCTGTCTTTGTGATAGTAGGACCGGAGAAGAGATTTGCAATCCCATCTGTGAGCTACCACCAGGTCCAGTTAGTGGAAAAGATGAGTCCAGCATCTGAAAATGAGAAGAGCATCCAACTTTAAGCCACACAAACATCATATTAGAACTGAAAACCAATAAATTTGACAGTGTTAACTCAGAAGCAAAATATATTTCATTAGAGTCGGGGGAGTCTACCACATAGAGAAGACTTGTAACATATTGTAGACATGCATATGGAAGGAATCAATTTTTTCCTCTAAAATTGGCAAAAACTTGGTGATTCTACGTAGTTTAACCAACTATACAATTAGGAAAAATATAAAAAGAACCAAATCACAGCTTTCTTCAGGAAACATTGACATGATACATATTACAATGGTCAAAATATGATCGCAGTATGTGCAAAGGAATTCCATAAACATGCCAAGCAAAAAAGAACCTGGGATACTAATGAAACTATCAGAATTGAATTCCTTAAATCTTTGCCATTAGATCTTCACCATTTAAAATACAAATCCAAATATTACATCACAATGCAGTCAAGACAAAATCCCAGTTTCTTCTATATATTAACAAGCTATGATATAAACCTCTTCACTATGAGCAGCATCAGCTGGGCTATCACCTGTAAACTGTCTAATGTTGTCTGCCTCGTGCCAGAACTATGTTTTATAGCTAGGTTACTAAAGATGGAAACTGCACGAAGGAAAAAAGGCAGATGGTCTACTCGCTGTTTTCTCTTGTATATATATGGTTGTACTAGTGCAAATGTTATAAGTGCCTTTGAAACTTAGACAGATGCTCATGAAACAAATGATCATAGTTAACTCCGAGCAGAACCCAATTTAATGAACAAAAACCAGTAAATTTAAAAAATGAATCATAGAATTCTCGAAGAAAGGTGATAGGGACATTGATCTCACAAGATCAAATGTTTGGCTCAATCAATATCAAAGAATAGTAAAACTAATGAAAGAAAAAAGTAGAGAGCAGCAAAAAATAAAAAATAAAAACAACAATTGCAACCATAATATTTTTTTTTTGAAAGGTAATCAAATATTATATTAATCAAGGTTAATACACAGGATGTGTATCATCAATACAAATCAGAAAGGAACAAACAAAAATTAGGCAGCCCATCTATATGCCTACTAGCCACAATAGTCTCAGTTGTCGGAGAGGAAGTAATGACCATGCAAGAAAATCCAAAAGGCAAATGTTATTCCAGTAAACATAGTTGTGGTCATAATATGGCAGTCCTGACACATGCATAGACCGATTTCGGCAGACCCTTAAGAATCAATTATCAGAAAAAACTAAAGTTAAAATAAAGAACTCTATTATCTCATTTAAAACAAAACTGGAAAATGCTCGACCAGGATATAATCTCAGAGGGGAAATGGAATTGACTGGCATTTAAGGTGCAACACACAGAATCTGAAGTCTAACAAATGTATCATCTCTCGGTAGTAAATAAGATCTAGACTGGTGAAAGTCAACCTATGGTGAAAAAGGAATCATCTTGCAGTAGATTGACTGAGCAAGGCTAAATCAAGATAGCGACACTCATTGTTTGCAGAAAAGTTAAATTAATTCTGTGAGAAAACGACGAAATGATGCAACACTTCACCAGACTTCAATAAACACAATATACCTCCACATTTGTCCCATGAGTTTGGATTCCATGATGCTGATCAGCAGTGGCATTGGACCCAACATCTTGTTCTCCATGTGCTGATGAAATCCTGGCAAGTGTCCGTTCAATGAATGCAACAAGTTCTACGTGAGTACCACGCAGATGAGATATTTGTAAGATATGGTTGCAATATTGTGGCCACTCTACTAGGCGGTCCACAAATTGTTCCAGAGCAGTAGTGCCAAAGACAAACATCTGTTTGTAGTAAAACCATTGGACACAGTTAAAAACAAACTACAATATGAAAAGTTAAAACATCACAAGGGAAAAAGGACAAACTTTTGAATCTGCAGGTTTTCTCAATCCATCCAGAACAGCTCGCAAAGCAATACCAAGTGTTAGATGAGTTACAAGTTGATGCTTAATGAGCGACCCTAGAAACAAAAGTAATAACCACGACATCAGTAAATTAAGCTTAACATTTTTATTTCAAAATCAAAATCTCCAATTTATAGATCCAACTACCTGAATAGAGATATTTAATAAATAACACAAATCAAAGCCCATAGCAAGCTAACAAAGCAAACTGATTCTGAATTTACAGGCGGCAAAGCAACACGTTGAGAAATTAATTTGATAAAGAATTCCATTATATCGCTTCATGAAAATTAAAATTGCATACCAAATAAAGATATTTCAACCACATTGGGTATCTCACAAAATCACTAATCGTCACCTGGACTAAAAACAAACTGATACTCAAATAACATCCTAAGTTGGTACAACAGCCTAGCAGAAAACCACAATCAACAAAGGCGAGACCTTCTCTCTTCCTGGACATGTTAAGACATAATTCGTCTAAGAAACTTAGCTAATTAATAACACAAAAATATGGACAGCCATGTGAATTAAGTTTATAAGGAAATGAGAACTGAGGAAGCTGTCATGCTGCGTGTACCTATTGAGTCCAACTAATGTCCTCAAGTCGTGTTAATAAGCAGCTAGAGCAATTACAATCATGTATATAGAGTAAATGCCAATTCCACCGTGATAGGTTTTGCTTTTCAGTTTATTCATGCAAATACAAGCCAAGTTTTATTACACCCAAGAAAATCTTTATAAGAGTAGTCTAAATCAGTACTAAAAAACCAATTTCACTGAATCCAGAATTCTGGGCCTTCAAGTATACATGTCACAGTTGTTCTTGGTGCACTCACCAAGAGCCATCTAGATGTTATTTATGAGCCCACTAAAATTATCAAAAGCCCCATAACGGAACATAAATCCTGATACAATGAGCAACACATCTTCCCAGGGCACTAAATCCCTGGTGAAAAATATGATGACTAATTTAAGGGAATACTGGTGAAATGTGCATATTTCTGCATACTTTTGAGATCATTGCAGCCTAATAGATATATTTGAAAACAACAATAGCTTTTATTTAAAAGAAACCTGATAATCTTCAGGAAAGCAGTTATAGGGCGAGTTGATAAAAATCATAAAACTGAAATTTCAAGACTAGACACTGAATCACTAAGTGTTGAATAAAATTACATCAAATTTGCAACATGAAAACCTAATGTTAGGCAACGAATTCTAATCGATAAATTGTCAAAATCAATCAAAATATTAATACATCGCAGGGAACAAAACATGTCTTCCTAAAAGTGCCGTTGATCAATGTCAAAACTGAACCCTGATCTTTATAAAATTTGGGTTCCAGTTACCCAAGCTTCTTCGACCATTAAAAGATCAAAAAGAAATGAACCAAAGCAACTTATCCAAGGCAAAAATAAATAGTGGGAGAACAGAAAACCATGGTTGTGATCCCTAGGAGTTAGTTTAAAGCAAGGTAACTGGGGCTGAATCCATCGAGGAAAAATATGGATTTGCACATGATGCTAAACCAGCAAAGCTGGAATGAGGATTAGATATTGTGAATTACATTTATATAGTGCAGCTCATTAAATGTTTTACTGAAGAGTACCAACAAAAAGAATACTAAAACGTTTGGGAAAAAAAAATACTCTACAATAAATGAAATTGGGTCAAATGTTACATAATGCAAAATAAGAGCTCACCAAAAAGAAATGCAGCAATTTTGAGCTGCCTTTCAGGGTACTTGGAGAAGAATTTGTACTCCTCAAATAGATTAGCGATCATGCACTCAAAAATCGATTGTTGCCTGTCAAATGTGCAAACTACTTTAATCGAGACAGTAAATCACCTGAAACCTTAACAGAATGCAAAAGACACAAATACATGCTACTAAAAGTGCATTCATCATTTTAAGTTTATAGCTACTGATATTTAAGGGTTTCTTCATGTACTAAAAGATCTAATACCGGTCAAATAGCTTTGTTTCAGCCTTAAAGTTCTGTCCACAATGACAAGTTTCCATGCTGAGAAGTAGAATGAATAGCATGCGGAACGAATTTAATCAGACATTGAAAGACATGCATGATTTGTGAAGGAAAACCATGGAATAAAATAAAATCCATAGAGTAGATACTTGATTTAATGCAATAGGCATATCTCTCAATGGACTTATCATACGATACGGGGTCATTGTGCCCCAAGCAGGAATATGTTACAGCGAGGAGTAGCTTGCATAAGTTATACACACTAAAGACAGATTGAGGAAGAAAATTACCTCTTTTCTGAAGATTCTTTGAAGCGAGCAAGCATTTGAATCATCGCATCAGTTGTCAACTCACCCGAAAACAATTGATGGAAGTATGAGTTTGCTTCTGTCTCAATATCGTCAGCATAAACATCAGAAGTTACTGAGTCAGCAACCCCTCCATTCTTAAGTTTTGCAGTAGCATGCAGATAACTTGCATGCAATTTTTCCAATTCCTTGGACAAGTGACTAGAGGATATAATGCCAGAATGAGACTGAAGGACCTGCAGACAAAAGATTCAAAAGGTTTAAGCCCAATCATTTAAAGACAACTATCATCCAATTTAAGAGAATATGCAAGTGTCCGGAAAAACCTTTAAGAGGGTGGAACAAGCTTCCAAATAAACATTCATAAGAGAACCAGGGGAATGAAAACGGTTAATAGAAACTTCCTGAGATCCAACCACAACCTCCTTTAGGAACTTGAGGCACTCCTGAAAGCATTAAGACTAGTTTCTATGAGTTTTGCGATATATTCAACATCTCATCAATTAAGAGCACTGTTAAGTGAACAATCAGTACAAGACAACCACCGTTGGACACATAAAAGAGCTAATAAGGTGCACCTAACTAAAATTTACATATAATTGAAGGCTGTGATTTTCTTTTTCTTATTCCAGGGGTGAGGAAAATGTGGAGCGAGAGGGGATGAAGACAGAGCATCAGTTTACCTCATAAAAAGCGTCTCTATATGTACTTATTTGAGTACCCAACCACTTCTCGAGATCTATGAGTTCTTTTCTAGAAGCAAGGGCGGCCAGTCGAACACCAAAATAAGAAGGAATCATATCCAATACTGGAGTTAGCATCTGTATCAACAACAGAGACATTGTGAATGATTTACCAAAAATGGATGACGCAGGCAGAAAATTGAATACTTTTTTCATTTTTGTGTTGTAGGAAGTGGAGGAAGGAGGGCATATCGTATGCAAGGTCATAGATTCTTAGTCTATATCTTGGAACAAATATAAACATAATATAAAATTTCTAGTACCGCCTTTCTAGAAACGTGAAAGTGAATATACTCAGCATGTAAAAGCTTAATACAGCAGCCTAATACATATAAATGTAATGCAGGTTGTACTTAAAAAAAAGCCTTCCGGGTAGAAACATTGCAATCGGTGGAACAATAACTATTATCAAAAATAACACCCTGGTGATCAAATCAAGAACTGTATTCAATGTGTGATAGCAATTAAGTATATCAAAATATCCCACCCTTAAAAGAACCATGAAAGGACTTCATCCAACTACTAGAGGTTCAGTTAAAAGTGCATAGATTTATGCAGAGATCAATCATGTGGCACACACCCAGCCTTCAGTAAAGGTTGAAACTAATTCCTTAAAAGAACTGCAAGAGATTCTGTATTTTATTTGTAACAGAATATTGTATGAAATATTTAAGCTTGCTATGAAGTTAAAAAACCTTCAATTCCTGGCAGGCATCCAATACTTTAGTTAAATTGTCGGGATCAGAGTTCACAGCATCAGTAAATCCTCGCAACAACGTGTGAGGGTTGATATGCCACAGGTGAAGTATTACACTGTTTCCCAAAGCATGACTGAGTACCAAGTGGAAAACACCAGAAGTCACTTCATGCTGGAGGAGATTATATGCAGTCTGCAATTCAAGTAACAAAGGTATTAATTGAGCAACTGCATGGAACAGCAGAATAGTAATCACAATTGGTCTCCAAAATCAGTACATTCACGTGGGCCATCCCAAGAAGCAAGACTTCTGGAAAATTATCAAGTGGATCTTTCAGTATAGCTCGCACAGAACTCGCATGACCCCTTTCAGCTAGCTGACACAACACCTCCAGCAGGTCACGACATAACCAGGCATGATTTGTATGTCCAGACTGTAACTTATGACTGATCGCATCATCAGCAATGGGCTGCAAAAGTAATAACCGTAAAAGTTGACTCCCAGAACGTCTTATCCATGGAACTGCTTTAAATTCTATTAGCATGGGGTGATATGAAGACAGTAACAATAACAATAACTAGATTCTAATAAAATCATACCAGTTGCCTTTCAGAATGAGCAAATGTAAATACTTCAGGAGGCACTGCAACAGCGTATTTCAGAAAAGATAGTTGACCCTCAGCATTCTTCCAAACAGAGCCACAAACAGCATGGAGAGGGAAGGGATCCTGAAAAGCAGGTACCAAGGTCCAGACTTAATAAGAACTTTATAACCGCTTTCTTATTAGCATGCCTAACAGAAATGAAAAAAGCAAGTCAACTGTCGAGGCATACCTGACATGCATGTCTATAGAAGGACATAAAAAAGGAAAATGATGCTTCATTAGGAATATAAAAGCCCTCGTGGTCCAGGCTCTCCATGACATTTATCCAGTTGGTCCCAGGTTCCTGTAGTTAAGGTATTGAAACAAAAGAACGAATACAAATTCAGTGTATCTGTTGACAGTCAAATTTGAGTACCTCGGAATAAAGCTAATCAATGCTACGACGGGATTGATACAATGATGTGAAATACAATGCAAATTAAGCTAGAAGATATATCTATGGAACTTACAAGTTGCTTGATCGAATCAACCAGGATATCTATGTTCCAAGAGTTCAGCAATGGCAGATCAGAAACATTATTGCTACCAAGAGCAGAGCGGAACGTCGTGAACGCAGTTTGACTGTCATCAAGGCCCTCATAGGTCTGGGCAATTGTACCAAGCATTCTTGCAATTTTGATTTCAGTGAGTGGCAAGAAAAGAGACAATATTTCTTTGCACTGTGATACATCCACAGCACAGCCATAACCTAATTCCTTCATCATATCAGCCATGCTGATTTCCTTTTCCATTTCTGCTAAAATAGCATCAAAATCATCTTCACTGCCTTCATTGACCAAATCCAAGTGCCTGAGGTTAACAAAAGAAGCAGAAAACAGGTTAATCAAAATCAATTTCGAGAAATTTTTGAATTAGCAACTGTCACAAAGAGGTACCTGAAGAAGTTGGCTTCCCGCAGTTCACTGGAAAGAAATGGAGCTAAAATGAATTGGGTCTCCTCATTCAATTGCAATAGAGATACCATTTGTACAAATGAATCTACATGCTTGGAAAGGCCTTCAGATCGATTAAGAAACACTAGAATGTGCTGAATTAAATCAGTGGAATCCCAGGCCACTGGATTGGCACACAACTCTGCAATCTGACCCATGCAGAAGTTCTTTCCTGCGAATCAGCATATGCAAAGCATGAAATGAACAGCATAACGAGCACAGATTTTCTAATAAAAGGCACAAAAATATTGGAAATTCATCCTCCTATTTCAACGTCATGGTCAGAAAGAGAGAGAACTAACCACACATTCTGATATCAAGGTTTTCAGCATCTGATAAAGCAAGACCAACTCCCATTTTCTCGTATACTGACAAGTGTAATGCATCAGATAGATTCTGCAGAAATTCTTCATTTACTGCTGCAGTCCTCAGTGATCCACAGAAAACAGTACTAAAATTAGGTTTATCCAACATGTGCTTAAAAATTGAAGCATATACTGGATGCAGCTGCATATTCTTCAAGTTCCCATAAATATTCAGGTGATCCAAACAAGTTTGGAGCACCAATATGCTTCCCTCCATTCCATATGCAGCATACTGTTACATGAAACATGACACCACAAACAGAGCAAGAGTCAATGACAAAATTACAATAATCGGTGCGCTGAAATGGTTGAAAAGAAGGGCACAAAATTGTTATCACATTACATCTCTTCACCGCCTTATAAGATACTTTTTTCTTCCAAATGCTAATCACCAAGAAGACCAAACTCAAAATCTTAGAAAACTGCAAAACACCTGTGTGTACAGCCTTCATCTACTGATCTAAAGTTTTTGCTATGCGCATCAAGTTATTCTTGAGCACCCAGAATGGGGAGGAATCAACTATGTGTCGAAGCTCTTTTCAATTATCAAAGAAGTGTGCATATATACACAGCCCTCAATGACATAACTCCACCTTAAAAGCACCTCTACTTCTTAAAATATAACATGCCACGGAAAATAAAGGATTTAATGCAACTATTGACCCATTCTTAAAGAGGATTTAGAAAATACCTGTACTTAGCCCCAGGAGAGACATAGATAACTAGATCCATTAATTCAGTAACATGCACAATTAGCACAAGTGTGAAGCAAGAGACCCATATCTAGTTCTGGACTAAGAACGTCCTTATATAATAGTACAAGGCACCACCTTGGGCACAACACATGCACATAAAATCGTTAAAAACTATTAAGATATAGGAGATCGGTGAAGTTGTTCTATACAATGTGGAATGTTTCTGTATGTCTTATAAAATTCATTGCCTATTCAAACTCATTGCGTACAAAAGGCACCAAATAAGAGAGAACTAAAAGAGTCTTGTTCAAGTAGTTCGAACCATGAATTGGATAAGTAAACTCAACTTGCACTTTTTAAGGTAAGGAACAAAATATCTGTCTTGATCTAGTGGCTGCAAAGGGTGAACAGAGCACCAAGTTTGAAACGGGGCTCATGAGGTTGGGCATAGTTGAGTTGAAGTCCCAAAAGAATTGGCACATGTTACAAAGTCATAACCGGCCTATTACAGGTTATGATTCAGGAACCAACTGAACCTCCATATTTATTTTTAAGATTTGTTTGGGACTATGATGCTCGAACTCGGGTACGGGTACGTATTTAAGTGTCGAATCTTTTATTTTTTAAAATGGAGGATACAAGGACATGGCTAAAAAGATTCCAAATTTCGAACACGGGTACGTGGTTACGTCCTTGAAACTTCAATTATTATTTTTTTTCAAAAACTTTATATGTAAAATTAATCAAAAATATTATTAGATTATTTCTATTTTGCCAAGTTTTGAAAAAATATTAATTTCAAAAAATGCTATTAAATTGTTCTAAAAAATTTATGTATGTTGATTTTAAAATTACTTGTCAATCATTTTGGCCAAAGAAAAAACATATTTTAAATTTCTTTAAAATTTTGTAACAACATTAATCATGATATTTTTTAAAACTAAAATGATCTTATCTAACCAAAAGCATAATTAAAAAATAATAAACATCGTGTAATTTGCTCAACCAATCTGTAAAATTCGAAGAAAAAGATAAATAAACCCGACCAATAAGGCTGTAAGTCTGTAAATATATTTCAACCACAATGGATAAATTTTTTTTTAAACTAACAAAAAAAGAAAAAAAAAAGCAACGTTTTAAAGGCCAAAAGGCCCAAAACTTAAAACAAAAAGCAGGCCCAAGTCCAACATGAACACCCCCTCTTCTTCTTCCTCTTCCTCCTCCCTACGCAACTTCTGGCTCTGCAACAAATGACGATTCTTGCAGTAGTTCAACAGGTTCCGCCCCTGGCCATGTCCGGATGAAATTTGTCGCGTCCGACCCATATTCATACTCGTACCCGTGTCGATATGTCGACCAAAAAGAAGGGTCCGAGCATCACAAGTTTAGGAGTAAAATTTAGGCGCTATTCGATTTGAATAGTGCTTTTTTTGGAGAATGTGTGGTTAAAAAGTGGAGAAACATTTTGAGTTTACGTGTAAAATATTTTATTATATAAATGTGTGATTGAAAATGAGTATGTGAATTTTGGTTTAAAGGGAGTCAAACAAGGGCTTAGTAATATTACAGTAGAATTATGAAGTTGCTTCAGTTTTGCTTCTTTTGTATTTTCAGTCTTGCTTGGCATTCTACAAATAGAAATAAACCTATTTTTAAACCATTTGATTTAAATTCTGATTTTTTTTTTAAAAAAAAAATTTATCTTTAAATTTTTACACCAAATTAGGGTATGCCCCTAAACTAGCCCTCTCTTGACAGGTAGTATCTAGTTCAGGTTCCATGGGTATAGTTCCAAAATCTGGAACGTAGGAGAAATCGGTAGGGTACATAGTATGTCCGGCTATGTCCAGTAACCTACCCTCCCAATATATGCTCACTGCAAATGGTATGAAAGGGCAGTTTGTGCGTAAATATAAGAAATCTATTAGACAGCATCTGAAGGAGAAATAATTAAATCAACGCAAACAAAGCACAGCAATCCTCATTATTCCATCACCCACACAAAACTCCTAACAACTCAGTATAAATCTCCGGAGTTCGACCAAAAAATGACAAACCAATGCAACGAAGATTTTAATTGGTAAAAACTAGATCTCATCAAACTTCAAATGAGCTCGCACTCAAACCTATTTTGGTTCAATCAAATCATAAGCTTAAATTAAAAAAAAAAAAAAAAAAAAAAAAAAAAAGGTTTTAAGTAATTTGTTGGTCACCCAAAAAAACAAATAACATGTGGTGCACAAGATCTGATGGCCTGATCTGATAAGAAAGTCTAAGCACCTCTTTTGAGCTAGAAGATTAACAAGATTCTGCCCAAAAAGCAGATCCACGATAAGTTGCAGTTGATCAAAATTTAGACCATAATTGGATATGGAAACTTAAGAGGACTTGCAATAGCAAAATGTGGGCAGCATGAACTCAACCAGATGAGTCCACATTGAACGCAGTTTAAGGATTTTCCTAAAACTTCCCTAGATTTGTATTAAACACGGTTGACTTTCCTAACACTGCCCAGTTTTAATAAAAACAGAAATAAGCAAATAACTGTTAGTTCAAATGATGCTCCCTTGAAATTTTCAATTCCGCTTGTCGGCACTCCAACTCACGCCTCAAAACTACAACTAAAAAAACATAACATCCAAAAACAAGAGAAGAAGAAACACAGAAACAATGATGTCATCAACAGCTACTTTCCGTAAAATGTGCAATATGGCTTCTTCTCCTCCCAATTCAAAGGAAACAGGAAACACAAGTTCCAATGTATAGGGCCATCATTGTAGTTAGCTGTCCTCCCACCAATTTTTCAACAAGATGCATAGCTTATCTATTATTCCAAATTCTAAAGACAGTAATTTCTATAATTATTTTCCTCGCATACCTTATGCCCGTATCCATAATTTGGGCAATTAACAATTATTTTATTTCCTCTTAAAACTATTCAAATCAAGTTCCAGTCTTTTTAGCATTCTCAATAAAGTTTCCATCAAATATTAAGTATATACTCCCAAAAAATTTTTTTCTTCTCTCCTAAAACTATTCAAATAGCACAAATACAATCAAGTTCCAGTCTTTCTAGCATTTCTAAAAAAGTTTCCATCAAATGTCAAGTATATCCTCCCAATAAACACAGTACGACAGATATAACTTAAAAAAAGAGAAATCAAGTAAATTCCAAGTAACCCACAAACCAAATCTTCAGAAACAGAATATGAGGACGGTTTCCAGTCATCTCCCAATTGAAAAAATAAAAAATAAAAAATAAAAATCAACCCGTTCAAAAATCAAATTACCCATACACATGACCCATACAAACACGCTAGAAAAAACATATATTAATAGATGCACACAGAGGCGCGTGTATATCCACTTGTTTACCTGACAGAGCTCTAGAAAAACTGAATCTGTGTTGGAGTCGTCCAAGCTCTGAAGAAGAAATCGAATCTGACTGGAAACAGCAGATGAGAATGGAATCATTGTAAAAGATCTTTTTTAAAGGGTTTCGGTGAATTGAAATTATCAAACTAGGGTTTCGAAACTGATGAATCGGGAATTATCAAACTTTCGGATAACAAGATCGCGGTGCAAAGAGTCGAGAGAGTAGAGATTTGACGAGGAGTTGGGTGCGTTTATATCTGCGAGTCGAATGGCTCAGAGTGGGTCACCCCGACACCTTTCCTGTTTGCCCCTCTAGAATCGAAAATTAAAAATTGACCCCAATACTTATGAAATTTATTAAAAGAGATCCAACTAGAAGTGGCCACATAAAATAAAAAGTGAAAAGTAGTCTTTAAAAATTTTCTTAAGAGAATTGTTACCTAAGGAGTTGTATTTAACATTGAGTTTTAAAAATATTTATGGAATTAAAGAGTTTTAAAACATGTTTGAGCCCCATTTTTGTCAAAGATGTATTTTGAAATAGTATTTTGATAACCAATGTGTGGTTAAAAAATAAATAAAAGTTTTGAATTTATGGGTAATATTATTTTATCGAAGAATGTGTTGTTAAAAATAAGAGAGAGATAAATGTATCTTGAAAATAATAGGGACCAAACAAGGGCTTAGTATATACGGTCTAGATTTTTTAAATTCTATAAATACCTTGAAATGTTCGTTAAGACTTAATCAAAAATTATAGGAGTCATGAGGTATTCATTTTAGAGGAATTTGTACTAAATATTCATTTCTAAAGATGCACTAGAAAAAAGGTAATTATATTACCACTACAAAATTTATTAAGTGTACCACAATTTTTAATATTTTTTTGTTTATTAAGAGGTTACAGACGGAGCCATCTGCAGGAATTAAGTTGCGAAGGACTGGCATGAAGATGACGTGTAAACAATGCATGGGATCTGGACATAACAAAAGAAGTTGCAAGGAACCATTTCTTGGTGAAGCTAGTTCACAATAAGAAGCAGAAGCAAGCACGCACCTGAAGTCTTAACAAGATACACAATCAAGTGCGTCAAAGGGAAGAAAAGAGCACCATCTGGAATAACTTCAAAGTCACGGCTGAAAAAGTCCAAAACTCAAGGATCTAAATTTTCAACATGATGTGTTTTCTCCGTTCACTTTTTTTGCTGAGAATTGAACTTATTTTGTCAATATTATGATTTTGTAAAGTGAATTGTAATTATTTTGTAAATGCTGTATTTGTTGAAATGTGGAATGGAATGGAAGCATATACAGGAAATGTTGTAATTTCATATGTTGTTCTGGACTGTCAAGGTTGAATTCATTGCATTACACTGTTGTTACCTAATTTTCAGAGAACATCGGGTCTAGGTAATTAAGTTCTATGTGAAAATATTAGTATTTCTTACGCAACAATTGTTATTTCTGGAGTATTTCTGCACAGCGTAACGGTATGATCAACAGAATAAAAAATGAATTCGAGCCAACCGACTTCACGATGTTTCCTTAAAACAAATTTGCTGCCTTCAAAAGGTGCTTTAAGGCGTCCAGCAATCGTTTCCCAAGATAGAACGAATTTCGTCTC